TTTTCTTGATTTCATATGGCCACATCTTAGCCAGTAAGCAGTCTGGTCGTACTGTAGGAGTTGATCACTTTTGGGACAAAGTGAGTGTTTAACACACACGAATATAAACATCTCGAAACGGCTGGCACTTTGCCAACCGCTTCTTTCACGAGAATCGTTGAGCTGGTAATTTAGAAAACGGAACATGAGCATAAAGGCCGCCAGCGGACTGATCAGCACTTGTCAAAGCAATTGGAAAAGTTGCCAGCTGCATAGTTGGAAAACCAGGCCATGAATTACCATTCAAAGTTTTCTGCATGTGTTTAATCGCTGGTAAAGGTTCTAAAAATTGAGAAACAAATGTTTTGTCATGACCCCCTCCTAGGTAAATCGCGCATTGGCGCGAAAGCGGCCTGTTTGAGGCCGCCGTATCTGTATTGTGAGCATTATTGTACCCAGCGCAGTGTCTCTTTGAAGGAGTAGTGTTATTCCCGTCCAGTGTTGTTGACCGACCTGAGTAAACCCGTGAAGTGCGCCAACCAGGACGTACGAAGACGAGGACCTCGTGCCTACACCCAGTAATTGTCGACGAGTCGACTTGACGGGCTACAATATCTGGTCAGTCGACTGAGGAGTCCGGGCCCAGGGAACCCAACACAAACAATAGAAAAATCGAAGTACAACAAAAATTGGCCCATCCAAAAAAATGCCCAAACAGTAGTTTTTGATGTAGTTTGTCCAGTACTGGTGAAGCAGCTTTTTGTCATGTTTTTTTTTTTTTTTCGAGAAATGAACTGTTTCAGCTGGAATGGGTTGGCTGACGCAAGTTATACCGCGGTTTATTACTTACTATATTTCCACTGCTCTTTTTGCTTTATTTGGTGTGAAAATGCTATATGAGGGATACCGAATGTCGCCAGCCGAAGGACAGGAGGAGTACGAGGAAGCGAAAGCAGAAATCCAGAAGAAAGAGCTGCTGCTGGATTCTTCGAAAATTTCAGACATGGAAAGTGGAAGCACCACATCAACGAAGCAAGAGTAGTTCCATTTTAGTTTTCTTTCATTCATATGATTTAGTCCTACAAATCACATTATTTTATATCGAAAAAAGAATTTTAATTTTAAAAAAAAAACTTAGTTCACATGATTTTGTATCAAGGCGTATAACTTTTTGAGCTCTTTGCACTTTTATTGGTACTATAAATTGCAGTAAAAAAAGAAAACTTTTAAACATGCGGGGAAGAGAAGCTTCAGTAGTAACTTTTCAGGAGATCCATTTGGAAAAAAAAAAGCTAAAGTGACTCATTGTTTGCATATTTTTAATGTGGCATCCTTGCGTCATTTTTATGCTTTCTTGCATATATATATACGTATATATATACACATATATATACATATATATGTACATATATACATATATATACGCATATATATGTACACATGTATATATACATATATATGTATATATATGTACATATATATATATAAATGTGCAAAAACGCATGTTGTCAAGAGACTGTTTGTGTTTGCACTTTCTGTCGCCTACTTTCAACTCGAGAACCAGAAAATATAGAAGACCGAAACTTCAGGAGTATGTGCCCACACCATGTGCGACCCTCTCGTTTTAATATAAACATCTCCATACGCCTGAGACACAAACAAGGACGCCCTAAAAAAATATGCAAATTTTTGGGCGGGAAGGCGATCTCAGAATCCAGTGAAGTTACCGAGCTGAAACTTTGCAGGGCCATTCTCTGTGCATCTTTGAGCTAAAGATTTCAAATTCAGCCTTTAGGTGTTCGTGGTTCATATGTACGGCCATGTGAAGGTTTTGTCGGAAAAACTGCTAACTCGGCAGCTGGAAAAACTGAAAGGCTGAAATTTTAAAGTATATTCACTGCCAACGTACAGTTTAAAGATTTCGAATTCAGCCCTTCAGTACACATGGTACTCAAGCACGGGCATGTGAAAGTTTTGGCGAAAAAATTACTAACTCAGGGACCAGGAAAGCTAGGAAGTGTAGGGGAATGTTCGCTGTCCAAGTCTAACTCAAATATTTCAAACTCAGCCTCCATTTATGTACGGTCCTCACGTGCGGGCACTTAAAAGTTTCGGCGAGAAAACTGGTGGCTGGGCAGCTCGGTCATTTTTAAAGAAAGACCATTGAACGGAAGTTGTCCATCTCCTTCGTGCAAAATTTACGATGATTTACATTAACGAACGCAAAAGCAACAACCGTTCATACCGATACAAAAACGCATAATCTTACCGGCAAGTCTGGTG